GCAAACCAGCCGCCAAGCGACGCTGTTGCCTTCTTAAATGATACATCCATTATCCAAGCTGTGCCGCGCGTTCAAGCTGTGCCGCGCGTGGAGCCTCCGGGCGCACCTGACAGTGGTCAGCGGGTTGTCTCCACAGTGCAGCAGTCCAGTGACCCCATTGGTTCGGGTACGGAAGGACCGCAGCCACCGCCACCCTCGATTGTAGAGCACCACGGTCAGCCGCGCTTTAGCGTTTCAGAAGACGAGTTCATAGTGCGTGCTCGCATGCTCAGCCAGCCAGCTGTGACGTGGAAAGATATTGCGAGTCGTCTGCGCCGAACGACACACAGCTGCGAGGGCCGCTGGCGACGCATAAAAGACAAAGAGCAGATTGTGGAACGCCTCCGGGCAACGGGGGCGGGTAACCCACCTGCTGCGAACGCAACCGTTCAGCTTGCTGCGCAATCGTTGGCGCAGATGGCCGATGGAGCGTCACAGCCAACCGGTCCGGCTCTGATCGATGCGACGCCCAAACACAATGACGCGGCTGGTGCCGGGCGGCGACCGCCGCATACCGTCCTACGGCGGGGACTATCGCTACGCCAGGGAAGACAAGGGCGTCGAAGTGCAGCTGCTGCTGTTCGAATCGTTCGGCGGGTTCGGAAAGGGGGTCCGTGAGATCCTCCGGAGAGCGGCGGACGTGCTACAGAACAAGCTGACGCGGGCCCAGTACCTCGATGAGGTGACTTGGACCACCAAGAGCTGGCTGGGGCTGCAGAAGCAGCGCATCTCAGTCGTTCTTCACACGGCCATCGCAGAGCAGGTCGTGAATGAGCTTGCCTGTGGCGGGGGTGGGCGGGTGCACGGAGCTAAGTGCCTCGCCACCCTCGCAGGAGTCGCTTAGGCGGCTCCCGTGGTGTACCTGTGTTCGTGCCAGTGCGCGCCAGTCCCGTGCCCAGTGTTGTGCGAGGGAGTTTTGTCGTAAGATTCCCGGCTTCCAAGTGACGGAAAGCGACGGATTGGGAGGGGAGTGACGGCCGTCGCAGACAGGCAGGCCGAAACGGAGGTAGTCACTCACACTCACTCACTCACTCACTCGGAGGCTGGAGGTTTTCCCTCGTCGTCATCTCAGGGGCACGCGCCCTCTCGCATTTGGCGAGGCATGGGGGGTAGTTGTGGCATCTAGGCAAGCGGAATTGTGAGTTTGAAATGCACTCCAAGTGCTCCAAGCTACAAGTACTCCGACCCGCACGGCTCTAAAAAAAGACGAGAATGCAGCCGTGGCCCGCCCCCCACCGGCTACTTGTAGAGCGTAGAGGCCACCAAAGGGGTATTGGGAATGAACGATTTTGCATTTCCCCCCCCAAAAAAAACAGTTTTGGAAAATTCTCTTTTTCTCCACACCGCTGTCATCTGTCATCATCTGTCCCGCGTCCACCCATACCGCGTTGGTGTCCAGTCCGAGCCTGGCTGTTCTTCACCTTTCTACCTACCTACCTACCGCTGTGGCGTGGCAGAGGTGAACGAGCTAGCGTGCGGGGAGAGCGGCATTGTGCATGGTGCGGAGTGCATTGCCGGGCCGGGGAGCTGAGAAGCGCACCCAGCCAGGCTTTGTACGCCTGCATTTTTTCTTTTTTTGGCCCGGCCATCCGCACCGCTGCACCGCACTCCTCTCCGTGAAAAGCCCTGTGTGGTGGCGGCGTGCCCTCCTCCCTTGGCGTGTCAGTGTCTGCAGCTAGCTCCTGGAGCGTAGCGTAAGGCGGCCGGCGGTAGGGCGACGGAGTGGCCTTGTATTGCACCATGCCGATGTTGGCCGACGCCGACGCCAACCGCTGCCTGCTCGCCGCCACCGCCGGCTCGCTCGCCGCCACTCGCCTCGGTGGCGGACTCCGCACGTGCGGTCGGTGGGCAGCCGGTGGTGCGGCGATCGTGCTGGCGCACGACCTCGCTGGCGGCTGGGCGAGACGTCGGCTGGCACGGCTTCCTGTGCACCCTACCCGCCTGCTCGAGCTCTCGGTGACCCGCGTGGAGTGGCTCGCAGCCAGCAGCGCAGCGCTGCTGTCGGCCGGCACGCTTGCTGCTGGCGTGCGGCTGATTGGGACGCGCCCGTCGCTTGCGCTGCCATTTTTTGCGATGCCGTCACTGTACGTGGCGCTCGGGCTCCGGGAGGAGCTGGTGGTGCTGCGGGCAAGCGGGTCGGACTCTCTCTACCACGCCGTCCTCGCGAGCCTCGCCTCCGCGCCAGCACTCGCCGCCATGCCCGCCCGCGTCGCGGCTTGCATCGGCACGCCGCTGCTGCTGCCGCCGCTGCTCGCAGGCTACCTCGCCTCCTCCTCCATGCCGCCGCCCCTCCCAGCCGCATCGGAGGTGACGTCCGCCGTGGCAGCCCTGCTCGGCGCCCCCGCCGGAGCCTTCCCGGAGCCGTCCCCCTTCGCGCACCGTCTTGAGGGCGGAGAGCGCAGCGGCGCCCTTCCCTCGCCGTTTGGTGGCGTCAGTGATATGGTCGGCGCGAGCAGCGGCGGAGAGAGAAGCGGTTGCGACGGCGGCGACGGCGGCGACGGCGGCAACGGCGGCGACGGCGGCGACGGCGGCGACGGCGGCGACGGCGGCGACGGCGGCGACGGCGGCGACGGCGGCGGCTTCGGCAGAGGCGGAGGGGATGGCGGCGGGGGTGGCACTGCCGATGAAATCACTGGGGAGGGTCCGGCAGAAGGATTGCTCGGCGGCAGCGATGGCGGAGGAGGCGGAGGAGGCGGAGGAGGCGGAGGAGGCGGAGGAGGCGGAGGAGGCGGAGGAGGAGGCGGAGGAGGAGGTGGAGGAGGAGGCGGAGGAGGAGGTGGAGGCGGCGGAGGCGGAGGCGGAGGCGGTGGAGGCGGAGGCGGTGGAGGAAGAGGCGGAGAAGGTGGAGGAAGAGGTGGTGGAGAAAGAGGAGGAGAGGCTGCAGAGCTGCCGCCGCCCTCTCTTTCGGACGGCCCGCCGCCTTCTCGTGCTCCGGGCACGCACTCCCTCGGCACCGCGGCGGACGAGGCGGTCGGGGAGGCGGCGGGCGGCTCTGCGGCGGGCGGCGTGATTGTGCAGCTCGTGCGGCTGCACGAGGCGGGTGCACTGACGCTGGCAGAGCTGTGCGAGGCGCGGCAGCGTGTCCTGGCGGCGGAGGCTGCGGAGGTGCGGAGGAGGGGGGGCGGGGACGAGGCGGGCTGGCTGCCGGAGGCTGCGGGCACCGCGGTGCAGGGTGCCGCGTGGGCGGCGGAAGAGGCGGGCGGGCTTGCGCTGCGGGCTGGCAGCCTGCTCGCTGCGCCGGTGGCGTGGGCGTGGGGCGGCGCTTCCTCCGCCTCCGAGCGGGCGGCGGCGGCGGCGCGCGCCGCTACTCTCCGCTGCGCGCAGCTAGTGGTGAAGGCTGCGGAGCGGTCGGGCTGGCTGTCGAGCTGTGTCACGCCGAGAGGGGGTCGAGAGGCGGCGCTTGCGGAGGCGGCGCTGGGGGAGGCGGCGCTTGCGGAGGCGGCGCTGGGGGAGGCGGCGCTTGCGGAGGCGGCGCTGGGGGAGGCGGCGCTTGCGGAGGCGGCGCTGGGGGAGGCGGCGGGCGGGGACAGCGGCGGCGGCGGTGCGTGTCAGGGCGGCGGGCTTGACGGATCGACGACGCGCCGCGACGAGGCGCTCCGCTCCCTCTGCGTCGCTCTCGCCGCGCCGCCGCTCGCCCACATGCCGCCACCCGCGGTGCTGGCACTGCTCGGCACGGCGACCGACGGCGTCGCTCCGCCCCCAAGCGCATCGAGCGCGCGGCCAACCGGCGAGGGGCTCTTTGCGTGGCTTACGCGCCAGGCAGCCCGTTCACAGCTCGAGGTGTGAAGAGACGCTGTTCACAGGTGTGGCTTGCGCGGCAGGCGAGCGTGCTGGGTGCGAGGCTGGAGCAGGGCATCGCCGAGGCGGCCCTCGAGGCCGCCGAGCCCCACTGTATACGGAACTACTCACGTAGTAGTCATTGATTACGAATTAGGCAAACCTCGAGGCGCCGAGCCCCACGCGCCCGGACGGCGCCGCAGTCGCGTCTCTCTCACTGGAGCCCGTGCTGGTGCTGACGACGGTTGGCGCAGACGCGGCGCTGCTGTCGCCGGCGAGGGAGTACGCGCGTCGGCGCGCCAGCAGCCTCGTCGACGCGTTGGCGCCGAGGTTCGCCGAGATACGCCGAGGTACGATCGAGCGGCGCGCGGGCGGGGAGGGGCAGCCGTCGGCGGCGGCTCTCGGCCACGCCTTCCTTCCGTCGGAGCTTGAGCACGCTAACCGTGGTCGAGGGGCTGGAGAGTTAGTTGTTAATTAGGCAGGAGAGTCCACACTTTGTTGAGTAGGCACGCTACCGTGGTCGAGGGGCTGGAGCCCGTCTGGCCGCGCGGCGTTGGCGAGCCGCCCTGCTGGCGCCTCCCCACGGCCTGGTTCCGATGGTTCGCGTCCGGCGACTTGCTCGTGCTCGCTCTGCTCCTCGCCCTCAAGGAGCTGCGCTGATGACGGCGTGTGCGGGCTGGCTGGCGCCTGGCGGGCGCTGGTCGAGGCTACGGGAAGCAAAACAGTCTCCGTGCATATCTTGCCTTTGTGAATTCCTTAGCTTTCCACATTTCGCAGCAAGTCGGAGTTATAATGACCGAGTTCACAGCCTTGTTGGGAGAAGAGTTCTTAAAATACAAGCCTCTCTCACAGACAAGGGCGCACACACCGCTCACCCACGCGCAACGGGCCTTGCACTTTGAATGCCGTGGGGCTCCTGTCGTTAGACGTGGAGACGCGAGGGTTGCCCCCCCTTGCCCCACCACACCTCGTGTGTGTGGAGAAGTTTACCTTACCTTACCTTACCTGGCCCGCTCCGCACACCGCACAGTGCTGCAGATGTGACTGATTGACTCAAGACCGCCAGGTACGAGGTAGCGCACCACGCTACTGCAACAGGCGCAGTGTGGCAGTGCAGGGCCAGTACAGAGACCCGCGCGGCGGTGGTCTGTCAGCTCAAGAGCCATCGGCCGTGCGCCGACCTTCTACCTCCTTCTGCCCTCTCTGGCCGTTACGCTGTCCGCGCCGCTCTGAGCAGCCTGCGCGGCGACCAGCTCCTGCGACCCTCGAGACCTCGAGAGCTGCTGGGTGGCGCTGGAGCCGCCGAGGTAGCCGCGTGCGCGGGCAGCGGCGGGCGCCAAGTGCCTGCGGGCGGCGGACAGCGAGAGTGTGAACGGCGCCTCTTCACAGGGCCAGCCGTGAACACGGGCCTGCAGGCGGCGAGCGCGACAGAGAGCATCGCGAGGGCGGTGAGAAGGAACGAGAAGGCGACGTCGAAGGGCGGGCCGACGCCGCTTGAGAGCGACCAGGCGAAGAGGACGGCGCCTGGTCACGGCCGTGAGCTACTGTGAAGGCGACACTTCGGCTTCCTGGGACCCGGTGCTGACTTCTGACTCTCGTTGCTGTCTCTCCCTTCTCGACTGTCTTGGGCCCGCTTGTTGTGGTTTTTGCGTGAAGGCGACGCCGTCCGAGCTCGAGAGCGAGGCCGGGCGAGTGGGGCTTATGTCCATACCGCGGGTATAGCCGCACTCTAGTGGTAAGGAGATATGGGGAGATCTGGCGGGATGTGGGGAGATGTCGGGAGATAGCCGCACTCTAGTGGTAAGGAGGTAGTGCTAGCACCCCAGACCTCTCTAGGTCCCGCTCAGTGCTCGCTTTCTCCTGCTACGCTGGGCGGGGAGGCAAGCGCCGAGAGTCGGCCCGCCGGCTTTGCACAAGGAAGACAGGGACATCGAGAGCCCATTCACGCGCCCCCGCAGCTCCGGCGCCACGGAGTCGTTGATCATCAGAAAGATGGACCTGTTCACGCCTCGAGGCGTGAACAGACGCCGTTCACAGGCGCCACGGAGCCGCTGACCATCAGAACGACGGACGTGTAGCATCCACTCGCCACGCACTTTGAGGCCGAATAGTGCGCCGCCAGCAGCATGCGCAGCCAGGCGGGGGGGGAAGAGGCCCCGCTGTCGCCGCCTGAACGACCCTCACTACCCAAGGCAGGCTCCTCGTCCCCGCCCCACACCCCCGACGCCGCCTCGAGCCCCTCCGCCGCACCGCCCCCCTCCAGGGGGAGGGGGAGGGGGAGGGGGAGGGGGCGAGGGTCGAGGGGCGCGAGGAAAGGGGTGGCGGCGGCGATGACAGCGTACAGCACGGCGCAACGCGCAAACATGACAGACGGCGCACAGCGCGCGGCGAGAGGAGGGTAGAGGAGGAACTGGAAGGTGACGAGGGCGGCGCCAGAGCAGGCCATGATGGCGCCTGTTCACGGCCTCCTTTCCTCTCCCCATCAGCAGCCGGCGGCAGTGGTGGCGCTTGGGCGAGGCGATGGTGGCGCCGATGTCTCCGCTGTGCATGGCGAGCCCACCCTCGTCCCGCGGCGCGACCTGTTCACAGCTGGAGGTGTGAACAGCCGCCGTCCACCCGCATGGCGAGCTCTCCCTTGCCTCTCCTAGTCTCGGCCAATCTCAGCTCATCTCGGCTGATCTCGAGGACCAGCCACGACCGGCAGAATCTCGGCCAATCTCAGCTTATCTCGGCCGATCTCGTACCAGCCACAGCGGGTAGAGCTCGTCGAAGAAGATAGTCGCGCCCGAGAGCGCGCAGTACACCAGCACCGGAGCCCACGCCTGCGCACAGCTAGACGCGTGCTCAGGCGCCGTTCACAGCAGCACACACGCACCGGGACCAAAGCCCACGCCGACGCTGGGAGCCCCCCGTACCCTCCTCCTCCTCCACCCCCTCCCCCTCTGCAGCAGCCGCCGCCCGCGCCGCCGCAGCACCGCGCCCGCCGCAGCATCGCTGGCAGCGGCAGCGCCATTGCCGCTCGCGCTTCGCCGACGAACCCCCGCAGCGCTCCTCTCCGTGCATCGCCACCGCCGCCGCCGCCGCTGCTGCTGCTGCCGCCGCCGCCGCCGCCGCCACCGCTGCTGCAGCTGCTGCCGCCGCCGCCGCCGCCGCCGCCGCTGCTGCAGCTGCTGCCGCCGCCGCCGCATCTGCCGCCGCCGCCGCCGCCGCCGCCGCCGCCGTCAGCGGCGGCGGCCTCAGCGTCTCCCTTTGGCTCAGTCACAGCCCGCAATCCTGTCCTCGTGTCGCGCCTGTTCACAGGCAGCGCTGTGAAGAGACGCTGTTCACAGCTCGCAGCAGGCGCCGCCGTCGCGCGCGCGCGTCTCGGGCAGCCAGACTCGAACCAAGCCGAGGGCAGCCTACGCTCACTCTCAGGGTGATTGAAACGAGCTCGGAGGCAGAGGACGCGGCACGAATACGGCACACCCGCCAGGCTACAAACACGGGGGCTCTCGCGGCGTGTGTGGCAGTGTCAGCTGGCGGAGTGTCGGTTTTGAGTATGGGTGTTTGTGTGCCTCTGTGTCTGTGTGTCGCTCCAAGCGTGCCGCCGTCTCCTGTCTAGCGTCCGCTCATGCCCGCGCCCCTATCCAGTCCAAGCCCGTGGCTGCTCTTCACCTCTCTCTCGCTCTCTATCTGGCAGCCAGTGCGAGGCCGGCGCCGAGCGAGGTTGGCAGCAGCGCCGGCGCGTCGACGCCTGTTCACAGCTGAAGGTGTGAACAGGCCCCGAGCGAGGTTGGCAGCGGCGCCGGCGCGTCGACGCCGGCGAAGAGAGGGACCCCGTAGAGCAGGCCGCCGAGCGCGGGTCCTGGTGCAACGGACCAGTTCAGAGTTCATCGGTGGCGGGCGCATGAGAAGAGAGCCTGTCTGCGACGATGTGTTGCTGCGAGTTGTGGGGCTGTGATTCGTGTCACCACCGTCTGTGTTGATGATAAGGCCGCCGGACACTGCCTGCGACATTGCCGAGGCCCCACATGCCAGAGATGGCGGACATGGCGCGCGGCTGCTGCGCCGCAGTCACCAGCTCGGGCAGCATCGCCTTTGCGACACATGCGACGCCTTCTCGCAGCGATGATGAGATTGTGGCGTGTCTCACTGAGCGTGCGGCCTTTGCGACACCGATGATGCCGTTGAAGAGGCCCATGAGCAGCCTCGCCGCGAGCGCCGCGCCAAAGGTCGGCGCGAGGCCGAAGAGGAGCTGGAAGATGATGCAGGAGAGGAGGCCGATCTCGATGACGAGGACGCGGCCGTGCTTGTCCGACAGCAGGCCGAGGTGGTACGACGACATGGCACGACCAAGCATGAAGGCGGAGAGGATGAAGCCGCCGTAGTAGCCAATCTCGGCGCGGTCGTCGGTGAGGCCGTAGTGCAGGACGAGGAAGGGCGCGAACGGGAAGGGCGACGCCATCGCAACCGCGTTCGCGAACAAGGCGATGAGCAGTGCGACCATCGCCCGGCACGGCCGGTCGAGGGCAGGCGCCGCGCCTCCGGCCTCAGCCATGCGGGCTTGGTGCGGGCTTGGGGTCGCTTAGGCGGCTCCGGTGGTGTGCCGGTGTGTGTGCCAGTCCGCGCCAGTCGGTTCCTGTCGCAGTCCTGTCGTGCCAGAAAAAAGAATTTGGAGTGCACAACACTGGGCACGGGACTGGCGCGCATTGGCACTAACACAGGTACACCACGGGAGCCGCCTAAGCGACTCCTGCGAGGGTGGCGAGGCACTTAGCTCCGTGCACCCGCCCACCCCCATCGCCGACGACTGTTTGTTTGACGGTTGTTTGACCATAGTTTGAGCCTTAATTATTAATTCGGGTTTGGGTCTCTGAGGTCGCTACTAGCGTCCGTAACTTGCCACAAGCATGCTTTACAAAAGTCCAGCGGAGGGAGACTCTCAGAACGGCCGTCCGCGCGCGCTGTGAACAGCGCCGTGGTCAAACACTGTTTGACGTCGTCAAACACGTAGCGAAAGAGAGACCGTCCGCTTCCGGGCGAGCATCCGAGGCCTGCGGTTGTCCCTTCGCTGGTCGCGACCGCCATGGAGATCCGCTGCACACAGATCAGTGTTTTTGGCGACTATTGCTCGCTCTCTGTGCAATCGCAATGCCAGAGGCCGTGCTTCCTTGGAGAATGGGTCGCGATGCTGCTGCGACAGTGGATTGAGCCGCTCCGCAAGCTCCATCGGTGAGCTGCGGTGGCGCGCCGGCCGCTTCATGCATAGCTCTCGGGCGAGCTGCCGCAAACGCGTTTTCCGTCCGCCCGTTTCATCGAGTTTGCCCGAGTGGAGTGGTAAAATGCAATCGAATTTGCCCGAATGGTAAGGTGCAACTTTTGCATTTGGTAAAAGTTGCCCGAGTGGTCAGTGGGGAAAAAACCAAAGCGGAAAGGTGGCCCCAAGAGCTAAAGGTCAACATCCCCTCCGGCTACGACAATGAATGCGAACCTGATCTGGTCCTCACGGGGTTGACCCGTCTCCTCCAGATCGAGACGGACTTCATGGACGGCCGAGCAATATTTCTTCCCTACTATTATTAATTGATGCTTTTTGCACGGCTGAGCCCCCCCCCCCCCCCCCCAACACACCCACCCTGCCCGGCCCCGCCGGCGCGGCGCACATACCCTCTGCTGTCTCCTGCAGGTGAGGGAACACCTTGTGATTTTTGGGTCAAAATCGTCCCGATTTCATAATGTTCGTTCGTACGTGCATCCGCGGCGCCCAGCGCGGTGCCAGCGGCTCCCATACCTCTAAGAGGCCACCCACCTCCGTATAGACCCTTATATCCGCGGTTTACGCCCAATAGAGGCAGCTGCAAGAGGGCCCGGACGGGCACTGCGGCACACACTGCTCGCTGCTCGGCCATGCGGTAGCGTCTGGTGATGCCGCCCCTGCGCGGGCGGGGGCGTCTCGCTCGGCAGCAACTGCGCCGCGCAGCGCAGGTTCGAGGGTCGCGGTGGGTGGGTGCACTGGAAGACGTAGCGGTCGAGAAAGCGCTCAGCGACCGCTACGTCTCGAGGATGGAGCCGTCGCGCGGACCCGACCGGCCGACCGGCAGTAGCAGCAGGCGCCGGAGGGCGCGGGAGGCAGCGGCGACACCTCGGGCCAGAAGCGCGAGCCCTAGGCTGGTGAGGGGGCCCGCTCATGCGTAAACGGCTCTGGGACTTAGCTAAATCGCGCATCGAAATCGGGACGATTTTGCCAGGGCACCGTCACAAGGTGAGGCACTATCAGAACGATGGGCTTGCCCATCCCGGAGTGGTTCGATCCCACATAAATCCGAGACGGTGATGAGAAGCGTTCTCGGTGGTCTCAGGCCCAGTGGCCCAGTGAGGTAGTGCACCGGTCTAACTCGGATCCTGCTGAACCGAAGCTCCTCTTGTAGCTCGATCGGTCACACCGCCATCGCCGTCGGGGAGAGGGGGGACGACACTGTCTCGGCAGCGTGCACCTCGATCCTGTACCGTGTTTGTTATGACCCCCCCCAATGAACACACCAAGTGAGGGAGGGCGAGACGATCGCGAGGGGTCCCGTACCATGCGGAATCGACCCTATCAAGTGCTCAAGTGCTCAAGTACATCATAAGCGGCGAACGAGGCACGGTCGCTCTCCGACATGAGGCGCGTTGCACTTGCCAGTGCTGCCCTGGCCTTCTGTCTGCCCGCCCAATGGGTGGGAGGTGCCTCTGCTGCTGTGGCATGCCTCACGGCTGCGACTGGCCGGCGCCTCGGCGCCACGCGGCGGATGTAGAGCTCTACAGCTCTACAGCGCTCTACATCTCTACAGCTCTACAGCGCTCTACACTCTACATCCTCTACACCCTCCCTCAGGTGTTGGTGTGGAGGTGGCGGGCGTCGGCTTTGGTGTTGACTGTTGTTCTGAGAGGGTGCGACTCGTCAGGCGCGACTCGCCGCCGCCGCACGAACGCCAGCCCCGCCGCCGCCCGCTCGCCCACCCGCGACAGCCCCGCCGCCGCCCGCTCGCCCACCCGCGACAGCGCCGCCTCGCCCTCTGCTTGCCCCGCGGGCGCCTCCGCGCCGCCCCGCAGCATGGTTCGCCCGCCCGCGCCCCCTCCCCTCCTCCGCGGTCCTGGCGCCGCTCCCTCCCGGTGACTCCTCGGCGGGTGCGGCTGCGGGCGGCGGGCAAGGCGGGGCGAGGCCTAGGACGAGAGGGACGGGTGTGTGGACGAGAAGCACACGGAGGGTGGAGAGAGTCGAATGGCGGCGGAGGGGGCACCGGGAGGCGGCGGGCTGCAGACAGCGGCTGCTCCTCCGCTGTCTCTCCTCCCCCCGCCTGATCCTCCGCCGCCGCCGCCTCCGCCTCCTCCTCCGCCGCCTCCTCCTCCGCCGCCGCCGCCTCCTCCGCCTCCTCCTCCTCCGCCGCCGCCGCCGCCGCCGCCACCGCCGCCTCCTCGGCCACCGGCGACCTGGCCCCCTCCCCCTCCCCCACCTTCACCGCCCCCACCGCCGCCGCCCCGGCACAAGCCTCCCC